AAACTTCTACAAATGAATATACTTCAGAAAAATGAAGTAGTAAAAAACTGCCTTCTCAACAGTTTGGTACTACAGTGCTGGGGATGTAGTTTATGTTAGGGCTAACCTAACATGAACAAGGCCATGGGTTATAGCTCCAGCACAGTATAAACTGGGCATGATGGTACATACATTCCTGAAATTCCAGCACTGGGAAGGTAGAGGCAGAAGATCAGAAATCCATCTACATGCCAAGTTTTAGGGCAGCCTGGGCTACATGAGAACCTATCTCAAAGAAGAAAGGAGGAGGAGAAAGACAAGATGAAAAAGAAGAAAAGGTTCATGAGTATAGAAGCACAAAGCTACAAAATACACTGAAGTAGGCATAGTGTAACAACTTTAATCTCAGTGGTCAGGAGGCAGAGGCAGACAAATTTCTGTGAGTTCTAGGCTGCCTGGTCTCATAGCAAGTTCTGGGCTTGCCATGAGACAGTGAGACCCTGTCAAACAAAGACAAAAAGCAGCAAATACGTGCGCCTGGTGTTGAATGCCTTTATTCCCAGCACTTGGGAGACAAAGGCATGTGGATATCTGAGTTCCAGGCCAGCCTGGTTTTATAGAGAGAGTTCTACGACACGAGAAAACCTGTCTTAAACCGGGCGTTGGTGGTGCACGCCTTTAATCCCAGCACTTGAGGCAGAGGCAGGCGGATCTCTGTGAGTTTGAGACCAGCCTGGTCTACAAGAGCTAGTTCCTGGACAGCCTCGAAAGCCACAGAGAAACCCTGTCTTTAAAAAAAAAAAGTAAATAGAAAGAATTATATATCAGAGTGAGATAAATAACTGAACCAATAAACTGGTTCAATATTCATTTAATACTAAAAAAAAAAAACTAACATAACCTTATCAAGTCAATGGGCTTCTTGGATTAGTAAAAAGCACTTTCATAGACCAATACCAGTAATAAAATTGAAACCTAGATCAGTTAACATCCCTACTAATAGTTAAGTTGGATCTCTTACTTCATTATCATTTATAAAGTTTTTTTTTTTCTTTTTTGAGACAAGGTTATGTGTAGCCTTGCTGTCCTTGAAGTCAATCTGTAGAACAGGCTGGCCTCGGAACTCAGAGTGTTCTGCCTCTGCTTCCTGAGTACTGGGATTTAAGGCATGTGCCCACCACTGCCTGGCTGACCATAAATATAAATATAAGAGCTAAAACTATAAAATATTATAATGAAGTCAGGGTTCCAACTTAATTTTTTTAAACGTGGCTATCCATTTCTCCTACTGTATGTTGAAATTCACTAAACTTTTGTTATTCTAATTATTCTCAACTATAAGCTTATCATTTTGAGACAGCATTCTTTATGCTTTATTTTAGATGTATGTCAAAATCCCTGTTGTGTAGATGAAGGAAAAGGTCCTTATTTAGTGCTTCATATTAAGCTGCAATAACACACTGCAATTGGAATTCAGAAGACAGCATATAATGGCTTTGACTTTTTTTGTTGTTTTAAGTAAATCACTTCAATTCTTTGCTTTCTTTTTTCTCTTTGTATTTAATGAAGCTAAAGCTTATCTATTTGTTTTTTTTTTTTTTATGGTGCTAGGGATCAAATTTAGGGCCTTGTACTTGTTAGGTTAGCAGTCTAGCTCTGAGCTACATCACATATTCCCCTGCTTCATTGGCCTTTTGACCAATTATACATACTATCAGCATCTGAGGTTAGAAATGCAAAGTGAAACTACAGATGATTGCTCCTTCCCATATCATCTGCATACAAATACAGAATGGCTACCCTTTTTGTCACTAGTACCAAATCCAAAGCCAAGTACCTGCCTCAGACACTGAAGGAAACCAGAGATTTTCATTTGAATAATATAACATAATCATTGGAAAAATACCAACACCTTGTACTAGTTTAAAAAAAAAAAAGAAAAAAACAGTGCTAACAGATGTAAACATACTAGCCAAGTCTTTTTAAAGACATGACTATAGTTTCAATTATTTTGTCTCATAAGTCACCAAAAATCCCAGAAACTTCATTAGTAGAGCAAATATAAACTATATATCCTGGAATACCTCTATAACCAGAAATACTTTGGTAGACCATATTTTCAGGGCCAACTATATTGTCTTCATAGATAACAAGCTCATTTCTCTGATCCTTAAAAATACAGTTGGGAAGCAGAAATCATAAAAAGAAATCTACACTACCACAGATAAAGGGGATAAAAGGTAGAAAGTTTCATACAAAATATGAGCAAATATATCCCTCCAGGTTCTCAAGGGGGTTCTTTTGTTGTCCCGTTTGTTTGTTTTTCAAGACAGGATTTCTTTTTGTAGCCCTGGCTGTCCTGAAATTCCCTTTGCAGACTAGGCAGGCCTCAAACTCACACCTCTGTATCCCAAGTGAAGATAAAAGGCATGTGCCACCACTGCCCAGCTTCAAGAGGGTTCTTAAGAGACACCACTTAAGTTGGTCCACAGTAAGAACCATGAATACAGAAAGAGTGGATTAAATAAAGACCAAGAGGAGAGACTTCATAGGAACAAACAATTTAAGTTTGGCTGGAATGAGTTTCACTTAGGAAAGAAGAAAAAAATTAAGACTAAAAGATATATCAACACCAGACTACTGAGAAATTTGAACACCATGAAGGAGTTTGAGTTATTTCATTCATTTCTGTAGGTTTATATATTGTGGTAAGGCATAAGTGTGTTTAAATACACAAAATATAATTTACCCAAGGCATAAGTGGGACGCGGTTATTTCAAATAAATCACCACAAATTTAGAGAAGTGTTCAAACTCAAGGTTATTTCTAGGGAAGAGGGGAAGGCCATAGCAATGTTCAAATAAAACCGAACCAAGTTACATAAAAAGTTAGCATCCTACTTTTGCAACTACATTTACTTCAAAGTTTAAACTTTATAAAAGCAATATAAATATAAAATACATGGAATGGCTCTCACTGTATCAATTATACATGAACCAATTTACCTCAAATGTTGTACAACTGAATTTTGTTAATCCTCAGAATTTATTTATTTATTTTTGGGTTTGAGGGGGGCATGTTTTCTCTGTGTATAGTCCTGTCTTGGAACTCATTCTGTAGATCAGTCTGTTCCAGAACTCAGAGATCCACCTGCCCCTGCCTCTTGAATGCTGAGACTAAAGGCCTGCACCACCATGCCCGGGCTTAATCCTCAGACTTTAAAAGCAATATGCCATAACCCCTATCAGCACACTGATTTGGATGAAGGCCATTAGCTTAAAATACACTACCATGAATAAGTTCATCATGCTATCCGAAATACATTTCAAGAGTAAATAAATGAGTGCCCCAACTCTCAACACCACTAATAGGTGTTAAAATAGCAACAAGTAAAAATCTCTCAAGGCATTCAAATAATGTCCTCTGTACAAAAAGTAAAATGTATCATACTGAGACTTTTTTTAACCCCTCACAAACCAATAAAAAAAGTTACAAAAATTTAATGAGATTATTTTAAGAGCCCCATAATCAAGAGGCAGGCTTCTAAATGTATTTTATAATTATTTCATTTAATTAAAACTAATAATTAACAGGATCCAGCTTTACTCTTCCCAAGCATAGCTCAGACGACTTCCTTTTTTTGTTTTTGTTTTTCTGAGACAGAGTTTCTCTGTGTAGCTTTATAGACCAGGCTGACTTCGAACTCCAGAGATGAGCCTGCCTCTGCCTAGCAAGTGCTGGGATTAAAGGCGTGCGCCACCACTGCCCCGCTTCAGACGACTTTCTAATGGCCCCTGTCAAACCAAGATCCTTGAGTGGAGCTCCCCTGACTTCTCTACGTATACCAAGTCACCCATGTTTGATCAACAAAAGTACCATGGATGCTGCAAAAGTTGACAGAAAGTCAACTAAATGAGAGCCCACATTCATTATATAACACTTCCAAATATTTGTACATCACATTTATTAACATCATCACAGGTCAAATGTACGGTGAGACCACACACTGGAAGCAGTAGGAGGCACTTATAACAGTGAGTCGGGGATAACCGAAAGGGGAAATCGAGGGCTGAGATACAAAATTCTAAGCAAGGTGGTTTCAAAATACCAGTGTATCTCCAAGATAATGGGCGGGTTCAAACTTCCTGCTTAACCTAAACTGCCTGTCCCCGGCGCTTAAAACAAGTATAACAACTCTTTTTGTCTGTGCAACGACCGGCCAAATCCGAGCAGAAAACAAAACAAAACAACAACAAACATAAAAACAAAAACACAAGGTAGTTGCACTAAGTGATCGTTACCAGGAGCGGAGTTCCAGGTGCCCATAGCCACCCGAAGCCTCAACTCTCACCCTGATTTGCTTAAAAATGGCAACAACGGGAGGCCACTATACGAGGCGAAGAGAAAGCGTACAAGGGACCAAAATGTAAGTTTGGAGACTAACACCAACTTAAAGCGACGAATCCCGGTGTTTACGGCCTACTGAGGAGTGGGAACAAGACCCACACACTCGGACTCGGGAGGAAATCCCAGTTGCCGGAATGCGGCGGGCAGAAGGGCAGCTCTAGCCAGGCAG